AACCCTAACCCTAAACCCTAAAGGCGGCGGCGTCTTTGCGCCTGCGACCAGGTGGGCTCTTGGAGGCTGGGAGTTTTTGTTGGGGATGTTGAAGGGTTGTGGGTTTAGGGTTTAGGGTTTAGGGTTTAGGGTTTAGGGTTTAGGACTGTGGCGTTTAGGGTTTAGGGCCGTGGGGCACCTACTTTTGGGATTGTTTCTGTTGGGCTTGTGGGGGTTTAGGTTTGAAGGGGGGGGGGGGTCGTACCTTCTGTGCACTAGAATCGTATTGCAGAGCGAATGTAGGATCTGTTATTCACTCTCTACTACTACTATGACCATAATTCCCTGACACCTAAACCCTAGACCCAAAACCCTAAACCTAGACAGTTTTTTTTTCGTCATTGCGCTCCGCCACACGTCATCTGAGGTGGCTCCGGCCACCCCAAACCAACTCTGTTTAGGGTGTCGGACTGTAGGACCCTAAACCCTAAGCCCTTTTGGAGTTAAGGGCTTCGCGTGTCGGATCCAATCCCTCAAGTTATCCAGAAGTTGTTGTTGAGACTGTAGTAGGCTGTTTGACTTTGCGGTACTTGCATGCACTTCGTTGATTTGCGCTCGAATCCAGTTTTGTTTAAGACCTCATCTGACGGTTTCGGTTAGTGTTTGTAGGACATGCAGTGACATACACCCTTACTAGGGGTTGTCATGGTAGAGGGAAGAGGATCCATAATTTGGACTCACTTGCGGAGGATATTGTAGTGTTGGTTCCGTGGAAGGACTTGTAAATATTTCCTTTCTGGGATTTCAGACGGCCACATTGAGAAAAGTACTTTTCAGAGAACTTCAAAGACCTTAGCCCGAGTTCCTAAACCCAAGTGGGGTATCCACCTACTTTCGGATTTATGGTTTAGGGTTTAGGGTGAGTTTCATGGCTGCAAGCTTTGGGCAGGTCAGGGTTAGGATCTACGGCCTCGGTTTTAGGGTTTTGGCGCGAGGGCTTCAAAGCAAGGAGCGCCTTTCTTGCGTTCGCCCTGAATTGAAGGACTACAGGGGTTTAGGGTTTAGGGTTTAGGGTTTAGTGTTTAGGGTTTAAGGGCCTTCTTCCTGAGGTTCGCCCTAAGTCGAAGGTTTCGGGGTGCGCGACCTTAATTGAAGGACTAGAGAGGACCCATGTACCTCATGCTCACCCCTAGATGAAGCATCGGCTGCCATTTATCTTATCTTCGCCCTTAGCTGAACTGAAACCCTAGAACTGGGCACTTCCAACAGCAGAAACCTAAGACCCCAAAGCCTCAACACCCCAAAGCCCCACAACCCTGAAGTCCTAAACCCTGACCCGGAAATCGATTACTGAGGAGGGCCAAACCCTTCAAACCCTTTAAACCCTTTAAACCCTTTTAAACCCTTTTAAACCCGTTAAACCCTTTTAAACCCTTTAAACCCTTTAAACCCTTTAAACCCTTTAAACCCTTTAGACCCTTTAGACCCTTTAAACCCTTCAAACCCTTTAAACCCTTTAAACCCCAAACCGTAAACCGCGGCTTGAGGGATTAGACAGGAGGGCTGGGCACCTTATGTCCGTCTTTACTTTAAACCGAAATCCCAAGCTTCAAGGCCTGAAGCCGGGTTAGGTTTAGGGTTTAGGGTTTAGGATTTAGGGTTTAGAGTTTAGAGTTTAGGGTTCAGGGTTACTTCACAGAGCCCATTCGTAGGAAACTTGACTTGGAGGTTCTGGGCTTGTCGAAGCTTATAAGGACTGGTTTTCGACATCATCAGCGTGCCTTCTCACAACCTTCCAAAACCCCCAATGTGCCGACACCGGACCCACGAAAGCCGCCAACCCACGTAATTAAACCCGAAGCCTTGAGACCTGTAAACACACAAGCCGGGAAGCGAATCCAACCCAGAAACCTTGAACCAAAACCTTTAGACCCACAACCAAACGATGAGGGTTTAGTTTTAGGGTTTAGGGTAACCCTAAACCCTAAACCCTAAACCTTAAACCCTAAACCCTAAACTCAAACCCCATCCTCAAAGCCAGGTGCGTCTACGTGGAGGGGACCTCCGACATCTCTCCTGTGGCGAGTTGCGCGCCAATTGCCGCTGCGCACTGTGGCCTTGGTTTACAGGCTTTCAGGTTTAGGGTTTAGGGTTTATGGTTTAGGGGGCTTAGGCGGATGAATTGAGGTTTATGGCACTCTAACTGCAACCTTACATCTCTTAGTCTTTGTAGGGGGTTAGGGAAAAGGGCTTAGGCTTTTGAAACATTAGATCCTTAGAGAACCTTTTTTGGTTGAATGGAGTTTTTTTTGAGAAAGCTGCTAGAGGTTGATCTTGCTGCGAACTGCCACAGTGCAGCCACGCCAGGATGATTAGCCTTGCTGTTATTCTGCTTCTGAGCGGAGCAGTGTAGGGTTCAGTTTAGTGCAAAGAGTAGGTATCATGAGTAGGTATCACTATCGATATGTGTCAGTGGAGGCATTGTCATTTGTTTAGCACTCCCGAGGATGATTGCTGATATCGTCGCCAATCCAATTTGAATCCCACCAAGTTCCCAGACTGAATGCCCTAAACCCTAAACCCTAAACCCTAAACCCTAAACCCTAAACCCTAGACCTACGCCTCAGATTCGAAGCCCCAGTCCCTACATGAACACTCAACGCGTTGAGCTCTTCAAACACCGTCGACTCTCAATAAGAAGCCAAGCCCTCGAAAAACTCACAGTCCTCGGGCTTTGCCCTAAACCCTAAACCCTAAACCCTAAACCCTAAACCCTAAACCCTAAACCCCAAGGCACTTTGTGCAGGGAACCCAGCGGGCAGGGTTCGTTCACCGGTCTGGGGTTTAGGGTTTAGGGTTTAGGGTTTAGGGTTTAGGGTTTAGGGTTTAGGGCTTAGGGCTTAGGGTTTAGGGTTTAGTGCTTAGGGTCCTCAGGTGACCTGTATATGCTACCTTGATGAATAGGGGAAGGTTTCAAGTTTTTCCAAGGTCCAACAGGTTTGGGGTTTAGGATGTACTTGAGGTAGGGCCACAGGCCTCAGGGCGGTCCTGTTTGCTAATCCTGCATGCCGCAGCGGCCCAATCCTTTCCAAAATCCGAAAGCGAACGAACAGTCTAAACTTACTGGTTCTTAGTAGGGAATGAGGGAACGAGGTACATACCCTACATAATCCCTTAAAGGGTATGTTAGGGACTTATAGGGGCATATATGGTACCCAATTCCCTCATTCCCTGCTAAGAACCAGGGGGTATAAGTTTAAGTACAGGCTCCGATTAGGTTCTTAAGTGCACGACTGTTTAAGGAAGTCAGTTCATGCTAACATTCGTGTTATTGTTGCATCAACATTCCTATCAGGGTCTGAGCAAGGTTCCTTACAATGATTTAATGAATGTTCCTCAGATTTTACAAGGGCTCCTATAAGATTTTGACATGTACTTAGATTCCATGGTTACCAGCTTTGATTTAGAGACTGCTCCCTCGAAATCCTATTCCCCTGACCCTTTTCTCTCCTACGACGTACATGGAACGTACGGGCCTTAACGGGCAAGCCTTGAAACCCTAAACCCTAGACCCTAGGTACATGGACCCTTAAAGCTATACCCAACCCTCTCTGAGTTGAGTTGTGGTGGCTGCAAGCGGGCCGTGGCACCTCTCATGCTGTCAGTGTGTTCCTTGCGCGTTGCTGGGTTTAGAGTTTAGGGTTTAGGGTTTAGGGTTTAGGGCTTCAGGGTTTAGGGTTTAGGGTTTAGGGTCAAGGGTTTGGGGGGGGGGGGGGGGGGGGGTTGATGGGCTGAGTGCAGGGTTTAGGGGTTTGGGGCATGAAGGTGGATGAGATAACCGGCGAGATCAAGATTGACCAGGCGCGTTGCTAGCATCCTGCCGCAGAACCCGGAAGAAACATCTGATCGTGTGCTGTTTGAGGAACGTGGAGCCAAAGAACTAAAGACTAGACTAAACCCTTAACTACTGGAATGACTTTGAAGTTGTTGAACCTCAAGTTTTAGTGACTTCTTGAAATCTCGACTGTTTACTCATGGTAGCCCAGTGGTACCCTTGACCCTCTTTTGGTTCCCAGAAGGTAACCAACCAAACAAAAGGGTACCCTAACCCTAAACCCCAAACCCTAAACCCTACACCCTAAACCCTAAACCCTCAGCATAATTTGGTTGCCTCCCTGCAGCTTCCGGAAGACCCCCACACACACAGACAACTTTTCTGAGACGCAAACTTAGCCGTGGACGTGGCGGTAGAGGGTTTAGGGTTTAGGGTTTCGGGTTTCGGGTTTTCGGGTGTAGGGTAAAGGCAAGTACCCTCCATGCTCCACCCTGAACCCTAAACCCCAAAACCCTAAATTGCCGATTTCCCAATGGGGACAAAGGGTTTCTGCCCTTCCACGCTTCCCGTCTCATGGGTACGCGGTGATTATTTCGGATGTTCAAGGATTATATTCGTTGACACCAGCCGCTTTTACAGCTACAGCTACCCTACCGGCCCTACTTGGTGTAACCCCAGCTACAAACTACTCATGAGCCCCAAAAGCCCAAACCCTAAACCCGGAATCCTCTTGTGGCTGGCTCAAGAGAGCGGAGATCCTTGCAGGACCGGGGCGTCGGCTTGCTGCTAGTGGGGTCGCTCCATTCGGGTTTAGAGTCTGAGTGTCTAGGGTTTCGGGTTTAGGCTACAGGGTGGGGCCCCCTTACTATACTAACTGTAGTTAAGGGACTTATAACCTAACTTAGGGTCCTTAGAACCCAATTTGGGGCCCTTATAACTCTACTTATAACTAGGGGGCCCCACCCTGTAGGGTTTCGGGTTTAGGCTAGGTTCCCCTGTTGAACCAAACGAGGTCGAAACTTCCTCCTTAGTCCTCCTTCAGAGTCGAAGGGAGCCATGTCCCACCCTAAACCCTAACTCCGAAATCCGAAACCCTAAACCCTAAACCCGAAACCCTAAACCCTAAACCCTACACCCTAAACCCGAAACCCTAAACCCTAAACCCGATACTCTACAGGGCAAAGCCATGGATTCCATCCGGGCTCAACTCGAGGCGGTCTGCGCGCAGGGCCTGTTTCGGGCGGTGTCACCATCAAATGTCGAGTGCCAGCACGTATAGGGTTTAGGGTTTAGGGTTTAGGGTTTAGGGTTTAGGGTTTAGGGTTTAGGGTTTAGGGTTTAGGGTTTAGGGTTTAGGCTTTATAGGGTTTAGGGTTTAGGGTCAATCTGGGGTCGCGGGTTTTGGGTTTAGTGTTTCTGGGGCACTGGGGGCTGGGCTTGTAGTTAGGGTTAAGGGTCTAGGGTTTCCGGCTTAGCTTTGGTTATCCCCTCAAAGGGCCATTTAGATCCCTAAACCCTTACACCCTAAACGTCTTTGGTTCCAGTGGTCCCCGAGAAAGACAACAGTATGGGTGCAGGGTTGAGAGGCTTAGCATGTTTAGGAGTTTGTGGTTTTGGGGCTTTGAGGGGTTTAGGATTTAGGGTTTAGGGTTTAGGGGTGGTTTAGCGCTTAAGGTTTGGGTTTTCGGTTTAGGGTTCGGTAATGAAGCAAAGGAATGCCTTGAGCATTTTAGTCAGTCAGATTGCTTTGGTTGCGCGGCTGTTGCTGACTAAGAGTGTAGGTTAAACTCCAGCATCCCTATTACACATTTCCAGCCGTCCTAGACCATTCTAAATCCGAAGCCGTCCTTCCTAAACCCTAACCTCTAAACCCTCCTTTAGGCTCTACCAGACCTTGAAACCAAACCCCACTAAACTCACCAAACCTTGAACCTAAACCCCACACCCTACAAATCCTAAGCCCCCGAACCCAAAAACCCTTTACCCTATAAGCCTTAAGCACCCTAGCCCTATAAGCCTTAGACAATATAAAACCAAAGCCCCCTACCCCTAAACCACCCTATAAACCCAAAGCCCCCTAACCCTATAAACCACAAGCCCAAAGCCCCTACCCCTATAAACCCCCCCCCCCCCCGCCTATAAACCCTAAGCCCCCTAACCCTAAACCTTAAGCCCTAAGCCCCCTCACCCTATAAACCACCCTATAAACCCTAAGCCCCCTAACCCTATAAGCCTTAAGCCCTAAGCCTCCTCACCCTTTAAACCACCCTATAAAGCAAAGCCCCCAATCCTATAAACCTTAAGCCCTAAGCCCCCCTAAACCCTAAACCCTAAACCCTAAACCCTAAACCCTAAACCCTAAACCCTAAACCCTAAACCCTAAACCCTAAACCCTAAACCCTAAACCCTACACGATAAAACACCCTAAGCATCAGCCCACAGATGTTCGTTGGAGCCCGAGGTCTTGACAGGCTTCGGGGAAGCTTTTGAGACTGAGGCAAGGAGGGTTCAGGTTTCGGGTTTAGGGCTAGGGTTTAGGGTTTAGGGTTTAGGGTGTAGGGTGTCGGGTTTAGGGTTCAGGAGCTCAAGGACCCCCACACAAACTCCGAAGCCCCAAACCCAAACCTAAACCCTAAACCCCCTAGGGTTTGAACCCTGAGACGAGTGAAAACCCTGAGCCCAAAACCTGAAGCCCCCCTAGGTTTTCTGGGTTTTGGAGTACTGTACTTTAATACTTGTTTTGGTTCTGGGTTCCGATTATAGCCCAAAGCCTGAAGCCCCTTGAGCTGTCCCTCGTGCTGCTTAGTGAGGCGTGGAAGGCTTCCAACAAAATCCCTGCGCCCTAAACTAAACCCGAAGCCCTAAGCCCTTAACCCTAAACCCTGATCCCCCAAACCCCCCCCCCCCCCTTTTGTGTTAAAAAAGTCTGGGCCCTGAATCGGGACCCATGGCCTGGTCTGGGAAAATGTGGGTTCCTTGAAGGTTTAGGGTTTAGGGTTTAGGGTTTAGGGTTTAGGGTTTAGGAAGAATTGGTGTGTAAGGACCCAATAGAACAGCCAATGTAAGGGGCACTTCAACACCCTTTCAACCCTAGAGATTGTCATCACAAGCACTGGCGTCATGTCGGCAAGACCGGTTTTCTAGCGAGGCTGAATGAAGTTCACGTTATATCCTGCAGGGGCGGGGGGGGAGGGGTAGGGCCAAACCCTAAACGCTAAACCTTAAACCTAAGCCCTAAACCCGAAACCCTGACGGGTTTACAAGTTTCCCGAGGTTCCCGACTTCATACCATGCGAAACCGAAGTTCTGCGCGCAGGTAGTTGGAACCGCTGTGGCTAATGCTCAGTTGGTGCCCAGCACCCTCAGACCTGTTCAAGACGTGTCCAAGCAGGCAGGCCGTGTTGTCTGAGTTCAGGGATTTAGGGTTTTAGGGTTTAGGGCTGGGGTTTAGGGCTTCGGGCTTAGGGCTTAGGGCGCAAGAATCAAGCTAGGCAAGCTTTCTTTCAGTACTGACATTGGGCTAGCTCATAAAATACACCGTTGCGCCCAGGCCTAAATGGCTCAGGTACACGGTACAGTTTCGAAAAGCTGCAATCAGGAAGTACTAACCCGAAATGGGATCCCAACGTAGAGCACCTCGCATGTGGCAACACATGGCCTTGATCCCAGATGAGTCTACCCACCAACCGATGAAGTTCTCGGAGTTTTCCCTCAGCTTTGGCCCTAAGCCCCTTAGACCCTGTTGACTTGAAGCAGGGAAATCCTAAACCCTAAACCCTAAACACTAAACCCTAAACCCTAAGGGTCTGCATGGCTGCCGTTGGTGAGTGTACGTAAAGGATGTCTTTTCTTGGGGCTCCCGAATGCTGCCAGTCCCGACTCCCGACCCCCACATGTCTCCTGTGCAGGGCTTTACGGGCTCAAGGTTTTTTCAAGGCTTTTTCGAAACCCTGAAGCCTATAAACCCTAGCCCTAATTCCTAAACCTTAAGCCCTAAACCCGAAAACCCGAAAACCCTAAGACCCTAAGACCCTAAAACCCTAAAACCCTAAAACCCTAAGACCCTAAAACTCTAAAATCCTAAAACCCTAAAACCCTAAACCCTAAAACCCTAAAACCCTAAAACCCTAAAACCCTAAAACCCTCAAACCCTAAAACCCAAAAACCCTAAAACCCTAAAACCCTAAACCCTAAACCCCTAAACTCTAAACCCTAAACCGTAAAGCCTAAACCCTAAACCCTAAACCCCAAACCCCAAACCCTAAACCCTAAACCCCAAACCCTACCGCCCCTTTCCTCCCCCCCCCCCCCCCCCCCCCCCCCCAACAAAAAAAATAAACAAAAAATCCTATCCCTAAACCCTAACCCTAAACCCGAAACCCTAAACCCTAAACCCGAAACCCGAAACCCTAAACCCTAAACCCTAAACCCCCGAGGTCGAGCGGGTGGACGTTTTCGTCAGCCACAGCTGGAGCTCCAGCCGGTGGGCTAAATACCTCGGCGCCTGAACGGCATGATATGAGGTTTGGGGTTTGGGGTTTGGGGTTTAGGGTTTAGGGTTTAGGGTTTATGGGTTTAGGGTTTAGGGTTTAGGGGTTGAGGGGTTTAGGGGTTTAGGGGTTGAGGGGTTTAGGGGTTGAGGGGTTGAGGGGTTGAGGGGTTTAGGGGTTGAGGGGTTGAGGGATTGAGGGGTTTAGGGTTTTTAGGGGTTTAGAGGTTTAGGGGTTTAGGGTTTGGGGATTTTTGAGTTTAGGGCTTGTATGTCTTTTTCAGGGTAAGGGTCTAGAAATCACAGCTGAAGATGGTGTTTGTCAGATTTCAGGATCAGCCTGATGCATGGTCCTCGCCAGACACAGATGGTTCAGAGTGCAGGTTTCAGGCTTATAAGTGCTCCTACAGGGTTTAGGCGTTTAGGAGTTAGCGTTTGGGTTTGGCGGCTACCCAGAACCCGTTTCGGAGTTTATATAGTGGGTGTCTGTCATATATGTATGTGTGTGTGTGTGTATGTGTGTGTGTGTGTATGTGTGTGTATGTGTGTGTATGTGTGTGTGTGTGTGTGTGGGCATCGACTTCTCCGCACCACCCTGACTGCTGAACCCGCCGCAGTCGTGTTGCATAGGTCACCGAAGCTGATCCCAAATCCCAAGTCCAATGAAGACGTGAGACGCTCGGAGGTCGGACGTGTGTCAGGATGTCCATGATCCCACGCATTTCTATCCTGTGCGTAGGTGATGAGCCTGTCATTTTCAGGTAGCTTTTGTGGGCTGTCGAAGTTTATGTCGTGCTTCTGTCTCTGCCACCCTGACGCCGGTATCTCGCGGTATCCTTGGTTCTCCTGGCGGGTATCCTCGAGGGCTTCCTTTCCATCAAACCTCTGATAGGTTTTCGAGCACGGGGTTTAAGGAACACGCAATGCTTTCGTCTACAGACCCTGCGAAACCACATTTTTGCAGCCTCCGGCTTCAAGAGCATGTGTTTTCCAACAGACAAATACGAGTTTGAGCTACAGTTGTATATCATGTCATGCGGGCAGCTATGTAGAAAAAGACCTTATTTCTTCGAAGAAAAACGTATAAACCCTAAACCCTAACCCTACTTATAAACCCTAAGCTCTAAACCCTGCCAGAGGCCCCTTCTGAACCCATAACCCATAAACCCGAAACCCTAAACCCTAAACTTACCCTAAACCCTAAACCCCAAACCCCAAACCCTAAACCCTAAACCCTATCAGAGGCCCCTTCTGAAGCCGAGGCCTTTGCATCTTTTGGAATTTGCGGGCCGCGGTGGTGTCATCCTTCGCGGTATACGCGACAGTCATCCTGGCCCTGCTTCTTGTCATAAGGGAGGGGTTAGGGTTTAGGGTTTAGGGTTTAGGGTTTAGGGTTTAGGGTTTAGGGTTTAGGGTTTAGGGTTTAGGGTTTAGGGTTTAGGGTTTCGGGTTCACTTGCATGGCCCCGAAATTCCCTAACCCTCTTCAAAGGTTTCTGAAGTAGGGGCCTCTCGGGTTCATATGTATAAGGGATATATCAGGGGTGCCATTCAAGGGCCCATACTAAGGGACCATCATACCCCTAAACCCTAAGCCCTAAACCCTAATCCTAAACCCTAAACCCTCCACACCGAACCCCACGGAAACAGAAACTGAACCCGAAACTGTTTCAGTTTTAGTGTCAGTTTCCGTGCAGCTGGCTCCTGTCCTCCTTCCCCATTGAAACTGAAACTTAAACTCGACACCCCCCTGCCCTCCCCACGAAACAAATTATTGACACTGAGCTGAAACTGAAACTGACACCGAAACTGAAACTGAAACTGAAACTGTTTCAGTTTCAATTTCCGTTTCCGTTCAGCTGGCTCCTGCCCTCGCTCTGGCAACGTGGCGGCGACAGTCCCCTCAGCTCTGGAACGTGGCCGCGACAGTGTCATGCGAGCCCAAACTGAAACTGAAACTGAAACGATTCCCCCCCTACGCTCCTGAAACCCTCAGATTGTCGGGACGCAGGCGTTGGGGTTGGGGCCTTATAGAGGTTAAACCCTAAACCCCAAACCCTAAACCCTGAACCCTGAACCCTAAACCCTGGACGCGTCCCGGTTTTCAGGGCCTTCGGCTCAAAACAGCCCAGACTCGACATCCTCGAAGCCCTAAACCATATAATTACTCCCTGCTGCTATATATGTATGTATATATATATATATAGATATATCTTTATATGTAGACCCTTTAAGGGCCTTCCCCGTAAGGGGCTTTCCCCGCAACCCCGTAAGAGGCCTTCCCCGCAAGGGGCCCTCCCCGTAAGGGGCCTTCCCTGTAGCCTTCCCGTAAGGAGGCCTTCCCCGTAAGGGATTTTATAGGGCCCTCATTCCCTCATTTCCTACTAAGAACCAGCCAGTATATGAGAGGCCTATAGAACCCAAAGGCCTGTGCTGAAAGCATCAGCATGACTATGGGACCCTAAAGCCTTTTCCCCAAGCCCGAAGCCCTAAACCCTAAACCCTAAACCCCGCGCCCGATAAGGTGTAACCTTTACAAGTGTTGAATCCTGTGCTGCGGGGAAGTCTGCCCTAGCTTCCTTCTTTGAGGAGAAGCCCTCAACCTTGCAAGTCAACCCCAAATCCAAAACCCCAAAACCCCAAACCCTCCACCCATAACCACCCCCCACCCCCCCTATATAAGCCCCTAAGCCCCTAAACTCCTCAGCCCCGAACCCTAAACCCTATAACTCGCCTGAACTTTAACTTAGTAGCCCAGTGGTACCCTTTTCCCACAAGGGTGCCCTTATCATTGTATAGTTACTGGGCTACTAAGTCAACCCTAGAATCCATAGCCCCCCCTCAGGCCCGCAGCCCCTCAACCCCTAAACCCCTAAACCCCTAAACCCCTAACCCCCTAAACCCCTAAACCCCTAAAACCCCTATAAACCCTAAACACTAACTCCCCTAAACTTTCAAACCTAGAAACCCGACCCAGAGTTCAGGCTGGCGGCCAGTGATGCGGGCGACTATGGAAGCAGCGCCCTGGTCGACGTAAGCCTTCTTGCGCTTGAATTGGGGTTTAGGGTTTAGGGTTTAGGGTTTAGGGTTTAGGGTTTAGGGTTTAGGGTTTAGGGTTTAGGATATAGGGTTTAGGGTTTAGGGTTTAGGGTTAGGGTTTAGGGTTTAGGGTTACAGCCCCCTCCAGACACCCCTCAGCCCTAAACTCTTATCACTTTGCTTTGTGGACATTTGGAGACTTTGGCTTCGTGTGTGAAATCTTGAGTCTCGGGTGTTGTCCCATGTCCGTGCGCGGCGATGCGACGCAAATAGGTTCCTCGTTGGCGCCGCCTCTGATCATCGTACCAATGGCTGTGTTCATCATCGTCCTCCTCTTCGGCCAAGACCTCCGCTCCCCGGCCGCAGAGGGATCTGCTTGGTAGAGTCGGCACATAGCACCCACTCACCCCGTTCACGCGGTCGCCTTCACGCACGTGCCTGCACGCGCGGAACCTGTCCTGGTAGTTACGATATCGAGCCGAAAAGTCGCGAGATCGCACACCAGTCCCCTAAATCGCAAACCCCGACACCACAAATCCGGAGCAAACTTGTGCCCAACACTTCGACGGTTGGCTCCTCGGGGTCTTGGGGGGTTTGGGGTATTTCAGGGCTGCGAAGATAAGGATGGCCATCTTAGAGCGTTTTTGGGGATAGAGGATGTAGGGTTTAGCTTTCAGGGATCTGGGAACCCGAAACCCGAATCGTAAACCCTAAACCCTAAACCCTAAACCCTAAACCCTAAACCCTAAACCCTAAACCCTAAACCCTAAACCCTAAACCCTAAACCCTAAACCCTAAACCCTAAACCCTAACCCCTAAACCCTAAACCCTAAACCCTAACCCTAAACCAACCCTAAACCCTAAAGGGTTTAGCTTCGAAGGGGTTTGGCAACCTGTGGGCCACATTGCTGTTGCCGCGCGGCGTTTGCTGCCCTGCACCCAAAGTCAGGGTTTAGGGTTTAGGGTTTAGGGTTTAGGGTTTAGGGTCTAGGGTTTAGGGTTTAGGGTTTAGGGTTAGGGAGATTTCGGAGATTTTGTCTCACCCTCACATGACCCGAATATGGGGACCTCGAACTGTAAACCCTAAACCCTAAACCCTAAACCCTAAACCCCAAACCCCAAACCCTAAACCCTAAACCACCCACTCGCCCACGGACAAAGTGCTTAGCCAGGCCGCCATTTCTTCCAGCCGCCCACTGTCTGGTTGGACAGGCTGTGTGTAGATCAGACGGATATGAATCTGAAGGTCAAGGCGGGGCTTAGGGTTTAGGGTTGAGGGTTGAGAGTTTAGGGTTTAGGGTTTAGGGTTTAGGGTGCAGGATGTAGGGTTTACGGTTTAGGGTTGATTGTGCAGTTTTGATATGTGTAGAAGACCCGATCATGAAAGCAGGTTTGGAAAGGTACCAGCAGTCGAGGTACATTTCCCTGAAAGCACCTAGGTTGTTGCACCAGTAAGTACTCCGCCAGAGGTGCTGCGAAACCCTGAAAAGCCCCAAGCCCTAAACCGCAAAACATGATATATCCAAACTGTAATCTGAAAACCTTTTCAGAAGCCCGCCTTTCGTTAAAACCCTACGGTACTAAACCCTGAGAGTCCCAAAGCCCTAAACCTAAATTTAACTCATAAGTCCAGATATCCTAAACCCTAAGCCCCCCCTACACCCCAAACCCAAAACCCTAAGCCCCAAACCCTAAACCCTAAACCCCAAACCCTAAACCCTAAGCCCTAAACCCCAAACCCTAAACCCCAAACCCCAAGCCCCTCTGGCGAGCTGAAGACAGGGCCAACTTCCGGGCCTCATGGGCTAGGGTTTAGGGTTTAGGGTTCAGGGTTCAGGGTTTGGGGAGGGTTTCGAGACACTTTGGGCATAATTTTGATGTTTTGGGCACTCAAGCCAAAATTTGAAGGTTTGCTGGGGTTCCAAGTTCAGTATAGCTGAGGGTTCAGGGTTTAGGGAGGGCTTTTGGGTTTGTCGGTTTTTCTGGGTTCACAGGGTTTTTAGGGTTTATGAGGTTTATGGGGTTTTATAGGGTTTATAGGGTTTAGGGCTTAGGGTTTGTAGGAGTTGTTTTCTGCATGGCTGCTCTAGATCTAACCCTTCAAAATTGGCCATGATAATGGCCACTTTCGTTTCTATTCTCGGGTTAGAGGCCAGGAAAGGGTCCAGGTATGACTGAGAGACTTTTTTGGGAGGGATACGATGTCCGTACCTGTCCTGCTCCGCAGGCAATCCTGTCACTGCCGGTGTTTGTCGCGCATGCGCGTCAGATGCTGGTGCTTTGGGATGACACCCTGTTTGAACGGCTTTGGTGCAACATGGAACTTGCGACCTTTGCAAGGACGAGCTCACACAGTGTGACGCGTCTGACCATGCAGCCTCTCTGGCTTACGCAGTGGCTTCTACTGTCTGTGGTCACGCATCTGGCCGCGGGTCTTTTCTTAAATGTATTGCTTTCGACACAAGTTGCCCATATTTGGCAACCTGTGGCCGAGCTGGATGGCTGGATTAAACAGCGGTTTGGTCCAACATCAAGCACAACCCTCTTCCTCATCTGGGCGAGACAAGCCTTCGTTGTTGCTTGGCTACCTTGAGAGCTTAGGTTTTCGGAGTTAGGGTGTAGGGTTTAGGGTTTAGGGTTTTAGGGTTTAGGGTTTAGGGTTTAGGGTTTAGGGTTTAGGGTTATAGGACCCTCCAGAACAGCTGCCGCCACGAAGGAGCAACGCATGTGAGAGTTTGACGTGCTGCAGAACCGAGCTTCCAAAGCCCTAAACCCTGAAAATCCTAAAGCCCTACACTCCTTAAGGAATACACTCCCCAACAAAACAAAAGCCTTGATCCTCGGGGTCTAGAAAGTTTAGATTTGAAGAAACATTCCTTACTTCAAAGGGTTCAGGGTTCAGGGTTCAGTGTTTAGGGTTTAGGGTTTAGGGTTTAGGGTTTAGGGTTTAGAGATGCTCTTTCTGCGCACCAAGTTTGGAGCTGGCTTCGTTCCACAAGCTTTGACTGGGTGGTATTGCTTACGACAGAAGCTGGAGAACCACCGGAGAATGCTGAGCGACATGGCCAACTTCGACGTATCCTGGCCGGTTTAGGGTTTAGGGTTTAGGGTTTAGGGTTTAGGGTTTGGGGTTTAGGGTTTGGGGTTTCTTTGGTGGGATATGTGGAGTTTTTTGTTGGTGGGATCCGATATGTGGTTTTTGGGGGGTTTAGGGTTTCGGGTTGATAGGGTTCATGGGGGTTATGGGGTTTCTCGGGTCTTTAGGGTTTATAGGGTTTACCTACTTTGGGGGAATTAAATTAGCCCTACCAGGGTCTTTGGTGAACGGAAAATGATCCCAATTTTCGAGCTGTTGCCAAGGTTGGGTGTATATACTTGGCTATTTCCCAACATATGGGCACCCCCAAAATACAACGGAAAGCATGTAAGACCTTATTACAGGAACCCCCCAAAAGCCGCCCCAAAATCGGTATCCCCAAGCCTTCAACCGACCCGAAACGCATTCCAGGAACCCTCTCCATATAGGGACTTCAACAGCTAGGATTTCCTGATCACGTTGGGGTTTAGGGTTTAGGGTTCAGGGTTTAGAGTTTAGAGTTTAGGGTTTAGGGTTTAGGGTTTAGGGCAGTTACGGGTGTCAAGCGGGCTTGCTGCTTTCGACCCCTGATTTGGAGTTTGCGAGATGCGCGGCCTTCAATTCCAGTCACCCGCCGCCACAAATCCTGAGAATTTGGGCTTTAGGGTCTGCGGCCTCCCTGTCCTTGCAAACGCCAAGTTTCCCAACGTGCACTGGCCCATACTTACTTCAGGACCCTTGAAAGAAGCTAAGGGACCATATTTGGGGACCGTGTAGCTACCTTTAGACCAAAGCACTTGAGTCTATAACGCTATGAGCCCGAAGCCTAAGATTCTAAAGCTTACGCCCCTCCGCCCCAATACCCTCAATCCCTTCCCCCAAATATTAACCCTCCCCCCTACCCCCTAATATTAAATACCCCCCATTATAGTTATATTATAGTATATGTGGGTTTTTAATATTAGGGGTTTAGGGTATAGGGTATACCTGCAACCTCCATTCGGGCGCAAAATTCTGCCTTTCGGTCTTCAGGCGCCTGAACCTTGTTGCGGGCGAATTTTATGTCTGCAGGCGGAACTTGCCGTAAACTTTATCTTAGGATATTTGCAGGCTGGACAACAATCGTAAACGCCGCGATGGCACGGGCGGATTTGCCCAAGCTTCGGGCAGATTTAAGCAAGCTTCGGGCGGATTTTCCCGGAGGGTGTTATCATCAGCTGCGTGAGTATTCTTTTGTTTGAAATCGGCTTCGGGCAGTTTTTAAAAACAGAGGCGGAATTTCATCCCTCAGGCGGAAAGAAGAGACAACATAGCCTCAGGCTGAATTTTGCGCCTGCGGAGGTTGCAGGTAGGGTTCAGGGTGTAGGGATAGGGTTGGGGTTTACGGTTTTAGGCTTTAGGGTTTAGGGTCTCGGTTGACTGGAAGCCGTCAGCCCCCCACCCTAAACCTGAACCCGATACACCCGAGAAATCACCTGCAAACCCTCTAAACCCTACAAGCCCGATGAAACCCCATAACCCCTATAAACCCTACAAACCCTAGAAACCCTGCAAGCCCTAGAAACCCTATAAACCCCAAACCCTACACCGACGCACAAGGTCAAAGACGCCAAGTGTACAGAAGAAAGCGACAGGCCGCAATTCGTCCCCTTTGCACAGTTTGGGGCCCTATAAACAACCCTTTTTGGACCCAAAAGCTGTAAAAGCCCTGTAAGCCCTACATCAACCCCATAAACCGTCGGTAAGTCCTAAACCCCAAACCCTAAACGCTAAACCTGTATACACGCCAAACCCCAAACCCCAAGCCCTTTATACCCTAAACCCTGCAAGTAGGGTTTGTAGGCTTTACAGGGTTTGTAGTGTTTATAGAGTTTATCGGCTTTATAGGGTTTATAGGGTTCATTGGGTTTGTTGGATTTATTGGGTTGCTTATTGTGTTCAGGGGTGTCGGCCCCCCGCCCCCCTCCCCACCCTAAACCCTAAACCCTAAACCCTAAACCCTAAACCCTAAGCCCTAAACCCTAAACCCTCCCAAACCCCCAAACCCTAAACCCTAAACCCTAAACCCTAAACCCACACCATGCAGTAAGAACGTCAAGAGAAGGATGCTTTGAAGAGTTGCTAGGACCCAGGCTTGGCGCTTATTCACTTTTTGGGGCGGGTTTAGGGTTTGCGGTTTAGGGTTTAGGGTTAGGGTTTAGGGTTTAGGGTTTAGGGTTTAGGGTTTAGGGTTTAGGGTTTAGGGTTTAGGGTTTTGGGTTTTGGGTTTTGGGTTTTGGGTTTAGGGTTTAGGGTTTAGGGTTTAGGGTTTAGGGTTTAGGATCCCTTAGAAGCCCTTTAAACCCAAAAGGGTACTCTGTTCATGTTTACTCTTGGGTCTAGGTTGCGGCAACGATCTGTTTTTGAGACTCGCCTCACAACGAGGGCGCTCATCGAGAAGATCGTTCAAGAGGTCTTCGAATCGGAGCGCCTCGGCCCGAAATCTGAGTGTTGAGTTTAGGGTTTAGGGTTTGGAGTTTAGGGTTTAGGGTTTAGGGTTTAGGGTTTAGGGTTTAGGGTTTAGGGTTTAGGGTAAAACCTTGCTGTCGGAAGCAAGGGCCTCCTACAGAAACGGAAAGGCCGCCACAACTGAGCAGCGTCCTCATCCTGCTGGCTGGTTCTGGGCAGGGAATGAGGGAATGGGGGCCCTATATAATACCCTTTAAGGAATTATGTAGGCCTATCTATATATACCCTTTAAGGGATGAGGGCCCTATATATACCCTTTAAGGAATTATGTAGGCCTAGCTATATATACCCTTTAAGGAGTTATGTAGGCCTATCTAGATATACCCTTTAAGGGATTATACAGGGCCCTACTATCTATATACCCTTTAAGGGATTATGTAGGCCTATCTATATACACCCGTTAAGGGATTATACAGGGCCCTCATTCCCTCATTCCCTACTAATAACCAGGGGGTCCCTTGCACCCCGAGGTTGATGTTTCAGGGGTATAGGGCTTCAATGGTTCAGGGGTTTAGGGTTTAGGGTTTAGGGTTTGGGGTTTAGGGTCTAGAGTTTGGGGTTTAAGGGTTCAGGGTTTTTTTTTTTGTGACTCTCTGCCGTTGGTCCTTTCGTTTCTCTGAACATCCTGCGGGTGGTGTTGTGTATGAGGCAACCTCTTTCCATGCCCGCCGCCCAACGCAGAAGCCCTGTGCCTAAGAGCAAGCTTCTATCGAGGCTTGAGACCGATAATTATCCGACATGTTTCACACCAAAGTGACTGTTAGGGTTTAACCGCTCAACCCTAAACCCTAAAACCCTAAAACCCTAAAACCCTAAAAACCTAAACCCTAAAACCCTAAAACCCTAAAACCCTAAAACCCTAAAACCCTAAAACCCTAAAACCCTAAAACCCTAAAACCCTAAAACCCTAAAACCCTAAAACCCAGAACAAGCATTGGGGGTAGTATGCAAGTTTGGAGCCCCCCCAAGCGCAAAAATCGACAGCAGTTTTTCGATGCACAAATTCCGCGCCACCAAAGGATGGAGAACAGCGACGCCGGGACGGCCTCCCTGCAAGTAGGTTGGGGACTACCCTTCGGCGCGGATGCGTCTCGCTTTGCAAACCCTAAACCCTAAACCTAAACCCTAAACCCTAAACCCTAAACCCTAAACCCTTGCATCTGGAAGCCGGGTGCGGGAATACACACAAAGCCGGCCTAGCAGGTGAGGCTGTAGATCCCGGATTCCGTTTAGGGTTCAGGGTTCAAGGATTCAGGGTTGAAGGTTTAGGGTTTAGGGTTTAGGGTTCAGGGTTTAGGGTTCAGGGTTGAAGGTGCTTCAGCTCCATGTAGGACGTCAAGTGTGATGATTTGAGACTCATATGGGTGTCAAGAAGTGCGGGGAATCCAAGGGTCGATATCCTGTGTATCCGGTTGCCCTGATAGCCAATCCCGAAAGCATCCACATGTACCTGTATAGTATACTAGGTAGGCCCTTTGGATATTTTATACTTTCCAGTATTAGGGTTAAGAGGAATATTTTCTGAGGGTTGTTAAGGCCATTCTAGTATATACTTGGGCACGAAAGGCTACCATAGAGGAGCCTCTTAAAACATCCCAAGCTAAACCCTAAACCCTAAACCCTAAACCCTAAACCCTAAACCCTAAACCCTAAACCCTAAACCCTAAACCCTATACAAAAGCGGTACATGGATCCCAAAGAAATGACCCTTAGCCACGAAGCCCTTAGCCACGAAGAAACGACCCCTTAGCCAGGAAGAAATGACCCTTAGCCACGACGAAATGGCCCTTAGCGCCAAGGAAATGGCCCTTAGCGACCCAGAAATGGCCCTGAGCGAGGAAATTGCCCTTAGCCACGAAGAAATGACTCTTAGCCACGAAGAAATGACCCTTAGCCACGAAGAAATGACGTTTAGGGCTAGGGTTTCGGGGTTAGGGTGCAAGAGTGTCGTGGTGCCTTTTGAGATTGCAACCTAGAGCCTAAACCCGAGTCTGTAGAGAAACACACTTTGTTTGCTTTCAAGTTCCATCTGTAAAACAGGGCCGAGATGTATATTCTTCTAGTTTGACACGGCTTGTACAGTCACTTTATACCGAAATAGGACTCAGCAAATGGTCCCACACAACTTTTAAGTATGCCCCTCCTTCTAAATTTAAGACCCGCTCGCATGGAAGATCATCCCAACCTGCTCGGCCGAGCTGAATCGGGGGTGGCGGGGTGGAAAGGGAGTTTCACCTCCTTTTCCCATCCAACACGCCGCCAGGGTCGGCGGACCCTAAACCCTGAACCCTGAACCCTAAACCCTAAACCCTAAACCCTAAACCCTAAGGCTTTGTGAAAGGGTTTAGGGTTTAGGGTTTAGGGCTTAGGGCTTAGGGTTTAGGGTTTAGGGTTTGGGGTTTTATGGTCCATGACCAGCCAGCAGCTCGACAGCTGAGTTGATTCAGAGCCCTTCTTCATTGGAGCGGACAAGCCTCATCACTCTCCACGAGGAGACCACTGAGGACTCGTAGGGTCCAGGGCATACCTAGGGCTTGGAGTTTAGGGTTTAGGGTTTAGGGTTTAGGGTTCAGGGTTCAGGGTTTGGAGTTCAGGGTTTAGGGTTTAGGGTTTAGGGTTTAGGGTTTAGGGTTTAGGGTTTAGGGTTTAGGGTTTAGGGTTTAGGGTTTGGAGTTCAGGGTTTAGGGTTTCGGGGCATCGGGATTCAGACTCGTACCCCTAAGGTTGTACCCCTAAAGGTTCCCCTTTATCTACGCCTAGTGTGGCCCTTATACTACCTGAGGACCTTGAAAAAGGATTCCGAGGTGCAACTCTTAGAAACTAGGCATGCAAGGAACTACAGATGGAGGTCTAGGTATGGCGACCAAAAGGTTGAGGGGTTTAGGGTTTAGGGTTACACTACTGCCCTAAACCCTAAACCCTAAACCCTAGACCCTAAACCCTGAACCCTAGATACTAAGGGTTACCATGCCAAGGGTGGTCCCGTGACACTCTTGGAGGTCTTTCACTGTCTGCGCAGACATGTTTGCTGGTTAGCATAGTAGTAGGTTTGGGGTTTGGGGTTTGGGGTTCAGGGTTTGGGGTTCGGGGTTTAAGGTTTAGGGTTAAGGGTTGAGGGGTTGGGGTTTAGGGTTACGTCTAAGGCAAAGCAAAAGCGCCTGCATTGTGTGACCGTGACCTGTTCTACGCAACAAACCTCGAGCCCTAAACCCTGAACCCTAAACCCGAAACCCTAAACCCTAAACCCGAAACCCTGAACCCTGAACCCTAAACCCTAAACCCTAAACCCTAAACCCTAAACCCTACACCCCAAACCAATTCTCCAGGACTTCTCAGGCGGTTTGGAGCGCTTCAATGCCTATGTCCGCGGGCCCCTGCGCGAAGCTGTGATGGAGACTTTGGGCCCCTTTGGCCTGGGGTTTCGGGTTTAGGGTTTAGGGTTTAGGGTTTAGGGTCTCGGGTTTAGGGTTTAGGGTTTAGGGTTTAGGGGTCGCTAGCAGTTTAGGGTTTAGACCCCCCAACTACCTGCTATGTTGTACCTGAGGGGAGAACAGCAGCCCCATTAGCCCTGAGGGTCCATGTACCTGCATAGTATACTTGGCCCCCAAAGCTGCTATGTGGGAAAGCCGTTAAGGCCCAAGTCTATACTATATAGGCGCATGGACCCTTAGGGCAGAGAGGTATGACAAGATCTGAGATCAGGGCTTCATTGGGTCTACTTGCAGGTTCATGGGTAGTTATAACTGGGATGGTAAGTTACCCTAAACCCTAGACCCTAGACCCTAAACCCTAAACCCTAAACCCTAAACCCTAAACCCTAAACCCTAAACCCTAAACCTAAACCCCAAAGTAGGGTTTTCGGGCTGTCTCAGATCCTTTTCCCCTCTAGACTCTACAGCCCCTGAACCCCTGATGCGAACTCAGCCGATGAGTCTTCTCAGGGGACGAGGTGCACGTGCCGAGAACCCAAAACCCTAAACCCGAAACCCTAAACCCTAAACCCTAAACCCTAAACCCTAAACCCTAAACTCAGGTGACGAGGTGCACGTGCCGCTGCACTTGTGCATTGTCGCCTCATTGCCGATGTGGTTTGTCGCCGCGGTGGACGTCCTCAGTTGCAGCTCGTCCTACCATGTTTAGGGCTTAGGGTTTAGGGTTGCGGCTTTAGGGTTTAGGGCTAGGGTTTAGGGTTTAGGGTTTAGGGTTTAGGGTTTAGGGTTTAGGGTTTAGGGTTTCGGGTTTAGGGTTTAGGGTGCCCTATATACCCTAAATAAGCCCGAATGCCTGAAGTAGCCTCTCCGCAGTACCAGGGTAGTGGACAATAGTTCCTATTCAAAAATAGCGAACCCCCACTAGAAACTCAGGAGTTTTCAGGTAGGGCCTAGGCTGAGGTTCTAGGGCTTAAGGGGATAGCTTAAGATTTCCCCTAAACCCCAAACCCCAAGCCCCAAACCCCAAACCCCAAACCCTAAACCCCAGACCCTAGACCCTAAACTCTAAGCCCTAAACCTTTCCTCCCTAAATCCCCACACCTCCAGCCTTCCTCAGGTGAAAACTTCCGGTGCGCTGATGTGCAAAAGCTCGAAGGATTTGAGGACTTGACGCCGTACTTGCTGAGCAATGCGCTGCACCTGGGCCTCTTTTCAGATGGGCTTAGGGTTTAGGGTTTCGGGTTTCGGGGATTTGTCTAACAGTGTTTTAGGAAACCGAAGGTGGCTGGCAGAAGTGGAAGTCATGTCGACCACCGACTCTTTGCGCAGGGTTTAGGGTTTTTGGTCTCTTGGTAGGATTCGGGTTTAGGGTTTAGGGTTTCGGGTTTAGGGTTTAGGGTTTAAGGAGCGATATAGGTACTTTAAACCTCTCCACGTGGCCCTGGGTTTAGGGTTTAGGGTTTAGGGTTTAGGGTTTAGGGTTTAGGGTTTAGGGTTTAGGATTCCTGATACCCTAAAAAAACCCGAATTATTTGGAACCCGCAGGCTGAAAGTCCTAACCTGAGGACTCCAATGTAGTTCCTTTTGGGGTTCGTTCTGGTTTTCCACTAAGGAGCAAAGCAGAAGGGGTTTAGGGGTTAGGGTTGGTTTAGGGTTTAGGGTTTAGGGTTTAGGGTTTAGGGTTTAGGGTTCAGGTAAACCCCATGTTCAGGAAGCTCCTGATCCCGAATCTCTTTGGAAGCACAGGAGCTGGTTCTATTTCAATGCCGTGCTGTATCCGACTGTCTTCCCACTGCTGCTTCGCATACTGAGGCCGGCGCTAGAAAAAAAGCCCTCAACTTGAACCAATCAGGGGTTTAGGGCTTCGGGTGTACAGGGTGGGGCCCCCTTACTATACTAACTGTAGTTAAGGGACTTATAACCTAACTTAGGGTCCTTAGAACCCAATTCAGGGCCCTTATAACTCTACTTATAACTAGGGGGCCCCACCCTGTAGGGTTGAAGGTTTCGGGTTGAGGATCTTAAGCCCTGAACTCCCCAATTTATCAGCTGAGGGAAGCCCATGACTTGACCAAGCAGGTACCTCCGCAGGGTCGATCGACCTACGTGGCAGCAGATACCGCTGGAACTCGCTGGTACGTTGGTGGCTTTTGCCCATGTTTTTGCATGCAACGCATGCATCTTCGCAAGCGAGCTGTATCTCGGCATTGTTCAGTGCAGTAGAGATTAGATTCTTGGCGACTGTGGCATGCAGACAAACCCTAAACCCTAAACCCTACACCCTAAACTCTAAATGCATGGTATGGATGCGGCCCGAGGCTGGCTATGTTGCGCCCTTCTGCGACTACAGTGTTCATGCTCCTCCTCGTCACGGCCGCATCGTTGCTAGGATGCCCAGTAGTACCCTTATTCCCTTTTTGGTAGGTTTAGGTTCCCTTATAAACCCCTTTAAGCAAAAAAGGGCACCCTTTTTCATCCTAGGTTACTGGACAACCTAGGTTGTTTCAGTGTTGGTTTCACTTCTCGCAAAGCGAGAATACACCCAAACGCGCGCTTAGGGCGTGCCAGGCAGGGTCGGATGAGGATACGCAGTGCGAAGCATTTTTCAGTATCTAGCCCGGCGCATCAACCGGACTATAACTGTGGGGATCTCCGAAAAATTGGGGGAGGGCCTGCTGTGGTGTATTTATACGGGGTCATATAGTTATATTCAGGGTAGGGGTTCCCCCAGACTGTTCTCGACTATCCTTCTAAGCAAGGATCGAGACATGTTTCTCCAAACGAAATTGCCGGGGGGGGGGGGGGTACGATATTGGGGAGTACCCTGGGGCCCTTATTATAAGGGAATCCTATTATTTGGGGGTCTATGTCAGGGGTCCCTTAATTTCGCAAACCCTATATACATGTGAGCTCTGCTCCCACCCAGGCAAAAAAAGCATGTGCGCGCTTAGATCTTGGCGGCTGCGATGACCATGCTGGTACCCTAAACCCTACGCCGTAAGCCTAAACCCTAGACCCTAGGAGCCTTAACCCTTTAAACCCTAAACGCCCTCAACCCTAAACGCCCTAACACCCCAAAGCCCTAACACCCTGAACCCTAAACCCTAAACCCTCAGCCTTCAACCCTAAAAGCCCTAACACCCTGATTCCTGAAGCCCTAAAAGCCTATAAGCCTGTGGCCATCCTGCCCAAGAGACGGGACTCCCAACGAAAGCCCTACATAAGCCCTGAACCCTGCTGTAGGTTTGGAGTTTAGGGTTTGGGGACGATGGGGGTGGGGGCGGGGCCTAAACCCTAAACCCCAAACCCCAATCCCTAAACCCTAAACCCTGTCTTTACGATGAGTTTAAATGGGGCGGTTGCAAGATATCATGGTACTCGTCTAGATCCAAGCCTTGACTAGGACGTACCGCCACCGCACTGTGCTTACGCTTTTTTTGGCGGGGGAACTCATATGTACATATGTATATATATATACACATGGATCTATACGTATGTGTGTATATGTATATATCCGAAGGTAAATAGGTTATCACCAGTCATAGCTGCAAATACTCTATTCTGAACCCCCAACACATAGCCACCTCCAAGCATGCTCATTTGCTCAAACCAAGCACCAGCTCAGCTGATGGTAGGCGAGGTCTTTATACTTACAGATTCCCCAGATCATGAGTTCAACTCTTCTGCCGGATTTAGGGATCTGGTGAATTGGGGGCGGGGCTTTTCGATTCCACCGCAGGAGAAGATCCGTAAGGACCTTACCTTGAAGCCAAGTCCCTTGAGCAGGCCTGTGCATGATGTTCTGAAGGCAAACAGTTGATGACTGACTCAACCCAAACCCCTGTAGCAGGCCACCTGAACCTCAACAACCCTGCTGAAAGGTCCATGGGCATGCCCGAGTCCCATTTCAGAAAAGGTATCTGCAGATGTCATAGGCAGTAAGCGCACTGAAGGGTAGGGAGGGGGAGGGGAGGGGGCTACCCAAGAACCTCAAGCAAGCCCCAACTTTACAATCCTAGGCCCCTAGGCCTGCCCTGCGCTCTGATGTAATCCTTGATTAGGGTGTATACAGGGTGGGGCCCCTTACTATACTAACTGTAGTTAAGGGACTTATAACCTAACTTAGGGTCCTTATAACCCAATTTAGGGCCCTCATAACTCTACTTATAACTAGGGGGCCCCACCCTGTAGGGTTTGCTGTGAACTCTTCAAGTTTGCACGCAGGCTTAAGTTTTGCTTTTGCGTAGACGTCTGGAGCCCTCGTAAACAAAAAGCTTCTTCGGGAATCTGGCCTGATTATGAATAATCATGAAAGCCTACTTACCCAATAGGAAACTGTAGCTATAGTCTACTGGCTTTCAAGGAAGCTTCACGAAGCTTCACCACTTTTGTACTTTTCAGGTTCCTATGTCTAGGGCTCCCTTCGGGTAGGTGCTTGGGCTTAGCTCGGTACTGTGAAAACGCCACAACCTACCCTAAACCCGTAGCCCTACCCCCCCCCCCCCCCCCCGGCAATACTGGCACTCTAGGCCTTGAGGGTTTAGGGCTTGGGGTTTAGGGGGTTTACAGGGTTCAGGGTTTCGGGGTAGGGGGCACGGTTTAGGGGTTTAGTTCGGGACCCCCATACCGTAGCCGTGGCCTAATAGGGCAAATGATAGGGGCGTATTTCTTCGGGTAGTTGCATGGTAATTAAGCTTAGCATGGGCCCTTCAAAAGCAACCCTTTATATACCCCCCATATACCCTACTTCAGAACCATATTAAGGGCCCGAAACCCTAAACCCTAAACCCTAAACCCCAAGGGACCGTATTAAGGGCCCATGAAAGTACCCTTAGATCAAATTCATGCTGGGAGGTGGGTAACTATGCCGTCAGTGTGGCAGTGGCCCCAGGAGTTTCATACAGTATAGGGCTTAGGGTTCAGGGTTTAGGGTTTAGGGTTGAGGGTTTAGGGTTTAGGGTTTTCAGGCATCCTCGAACCGAACCCCCCCCCCTCCTCTAAACCCTAAACGCTAAACGCTAAACCCTAAACCCTAAACCCTAAACCCTAAACCCTAAACCCTAAACCCTAAACCCCGCCTTTCAGTTGTAGTTCGCACTTTGTCACTTACAGTAAAAGCTTTTTTTTGACATTCACCAACTCTAAAAACCGACAAGGTCAGGCACACCAAGCAAGTAGAAGCCCTAAACGTTAAACCCAAAGACCTCTAATTTTTTAAGCCCTAGACAGCACCGAGTTTGTCAAGGCCCAGGCGCATTGCTAGAAGCACCACACACTGGCAGTTGAGATCGGAGGGTGCAACGCTGAGGTCGTCGGCCCACCCTAATCTTTTAGTCAGGATTCAGGATCCTATTGCTGTCTGGGGGGGTGGGGCTAACCCTAGATCCTCAGCCCTAAGCCCTAAACTCTAAACCCTAGCCCTAAACCCCAAACCCTGAAGCCTTGCCTAACCCAAGAGAGCAGTCGCGTCCTCAAAGTCCCCTTCACACCCTGAAGAAGATGGGAAGTAGGGTTTCAGAAGTTTACAGGGTGGGGCCCCCTTACTATACGAACTGTAGTTAAGGGACTTATAACCTAACTTAGGGTCCTTATAACCCAATTTAGGGCCCTTATAACTCTACTTATAACTAGGGGGCCCCACCCTGTAGGGTTTGGGTTTGCAGAGTTTATAGGGTTTAGGGTAAAGCCGCTTGCTACCCTGCAACAGAGATTCTAGAGAAGGGCCCAACACGCGGGACTCCCCCCGCCCCCCTCCCCCCCAATGTAGGATTCACTACCCTAAACCCTAAACACCAAACCCCAAACCCCAAACCCCGAACCCTAAACCCTAAACCCCAAGCCCTAAACCCTAAACCTTCTGACGCCCAGCTTTGGTCGGATGGACACCAAACCCTGGTGGCCCTCAAAGCATTGGCGGCGCACTTATGTTCGTGGTTTTTCCCTTGTCTTCAGGGTTTAGGGTTTAGGGACCTCCCAAGTACCCATTTAATTCCTTCAAGACACCCTAAAAACCCCTGTTAAGGTAGACTCCCCTCACAAATGGGCACTTGGGCCTTGGGGCGGGGGGGGGGGGGGGGGGGGGAAGGTTTTGGGTTCAGGGCTCAGGGTCAGGGGTTTCGTTAGGGTTTCGAGCTGTCGGGCTATATAGGGTTATATACACCCCCAGTTCGAGCGGCTCAGCCGCAAAGACTCTGATGGCATAGGAGGTGTCCCTCAACCCTCAACTTATGCTATAACCCCATATGAAACACTGTATACCCTACAAACCCTAATTCCTTCCCAAAACCCAAAAAGTCTAGGGTTTAAACTTTAAAGTTCAGGGCTTAGGGTTTTGGGGTTTACTTCGTACTTTCAAGTTAAGGTTCACGGCGCTGAAATCACTGTGTGATCGCTGAAGGGGGTATAAAGGGCGACGCCAGGACCCCGGACCGTAGACCCTAAACCACTAAACCCTAAGGATCTATGTACCTATAGAGTTTATACTTGGGCCCTAAAGCGACTATATAGGAACCCCTTGTTAAGGCCTAAGTACATACTCTATATGCACATGGATCAGACACTAGACCCTAGACCCTAAACCCTAGACCCTAAACCCTAAACCCTAAACGCTAAACCCTAAACCCTAAACCCTAAACCCTAAACCCTAAACCCTAAACCCTAAACCCTAAACCCTAAACCCTAAACCCTAAACCCTAACCCCTAAGCCCTAAGCCCTAAACCCTAAACCCTAAACCCTAGCCCAGCTAGTCTTGCAGAAGCTCCCAAACCCCGAAACCCTAACCCCACGTAAGGCCGACATGGTGACGGGCAACGACCCGACAAAGTCGTTAGGCAAGTCTCCGTGGTGAGACAGTCATGAGAGGGTGCCCTACTCCTGTCAGATGGGGTTTGAGGGTTTAGGGGAAAGGGTTTAGCAACAGGTTGCCCCGAGCCCCACGCCCGAGAACTCTTGTTTCAGGTCTTTAGGGTCCTTAGGGTGGGCCACCTGCAGACCCTTGAAGAGGACATGTCCTCCATTTCTGAGCGGATTTCCCCATTATTTCGAGGGTAGACATAATCAACCCCCTAAACCCTAAACCCAAAACCCTCCTAAACTCCGGATACTCTGTGCATGGGGTTAAGGCTTTTGGGGTTTAGGAGGCTTCTTCACTGCGCGCAAGTCCCTGTGTCCTTATGCGTTGTCTGCGTCGCAGGCGGGGGGGCTGGTTTGTGGCACCCTTAACCCTAAAC